GGTGGGGATCTTAAACACTGACAAATAATACACAGGTAAGTTAGCTAGGGTTGACCTAATCAGAGTGACTCTCCCTCCTAAGGAAAGATAATTTCTCTTCCAGGACGCAAGCCTCTTCTCAAATCTCTCCACTACCGGAGTCCAAAAGCTTTCATTCTTAGGGTTATCTCCTAAAGGGAGGCCCAAGTACATCAAAGGCCATTCTGAGATTGCACAACCTAACACACCTGCATAACTCCTCAACTCCCCCTCCTCCACATTCACCCCCATCACACAACTCTTATCAAAGTTCACCTTGAGGTTAGACATCTACTCAAAAAGTTGTATTGCTAATTTTAAATTCCGGATCCAGCTTATATTCCCACCCTCACAAAACAAAATTGTGTCATCTGCAAACTGGAGATGTGTCAGTGGTACCTCCTCCCTGCCAACTCTCCACCCTTTTATCAAATTCCTCGAGTCTGCTCTATGGATCAATCTCCCAAGTACATCAGCCATCAGGGTAAAAAGAAAGGGGGAGAATGGGTCTCCTTGTCTTATACCTCTTAAAGCAAGAAAAAAGTCAATCACCATTCCATTCACCAATATAGAATAGTGACAAGTCCTAATACAGCCCTAAATCCATTTACACCACCACCTATCTCCAAAGCCATAGCTTCTCAACACCTCTGCTAAAAAAGACCAATCCACTAAGTCATAAGCCTTCTCTAAGTCCAATTTGCATACCACTCCCTTCTTCTTAGATTTGAAATGAATTACTAAGGCCTCTGCTATTTTTATCGAGTTCAACAAGACTACTCCTTCTACTTACAATTTTGATATGAGATTTTTTTTTCTCCTCCCATTTGCCATTGAATGGAAAAATCTAGTGTTTCTTTCTCCCTCCTTTAGCCACTTACACCTAGATTTTTGCCTCCAACTTACTTCCTCCTTAATCAGAATATCCTCCATCTGCCTTCTCAACTCCCATCTCATTTTCCTGTCTTCCTCTCCAAAGGATCYCYTCTCTTCCTTCAKATCCAAATCCTCAATCTGCTCTAGCAGGACTTGTTTCCTTTCCTCTAATCTCCCAAACTCCAACCTATTCCACTCCTTTAATTGTGATTTTAGAAATTGAAGTTTNCCCACCACTCCCTGATCTTTTCACTGAATCCCGGATAGGTTAACCACATATTTTCAAACCTGAATGGAGTGGGTCCATCACCTCTCAATTCCTCCTTACACATCACTATAGGCCAATGGTCTGAAGTAATTCTTGGGAGTGCCCTAGATACTAGGTTACCCCAATGTTCCTCCCAGTCTGTTGAGAACAAGAATTTGTCCAGCTTGGAGCATACTGACCCCGACTGAAGGTTGGACCAAGTGAAGTTATTATTTAGGAGTGGAATTTCTTTAAGCTCAAAAGTATCCACAAAATGGTTGAACTTTCTCATACTAGTTGTCACTCTCTGTCTGGGGTTGTTGGTTTCCTCTATAAACCGCACTACATTAAAATCCCCTCCCACACACCATGGTCCCTCCCAGAGGCCCCTAACATCACTCAATTCCTCCCACAATTTCTTCTTCTACCTGTAGTCATTGGGGCCATAAACGTTTGTTAGTACCCATTTGTACTCGTCTTCCACCTGTCTGAACTTCAGGGAAACAGAGTAATCACCTATTAGCTCCTCCAAGCCAATTAGTATATCTTCTTTCCACAGTGTTACAATCCCGCTTGAGGATCCCCAAGATGAAGCGGCCACCCACTTGATTCCCCTATCTCTCCACACGCTCCTTGCCCATCAGCAATCAAAATCCATTCTTTTAGACTCCTGGATCATTACCACATACGGGTTAAACTTCTTAATCACCTCTTTAATTGTTGCTCTCTTCCTAACACTGCCCAAGCCCCTCACATTCCAACTTAGAATTCTCATTTTAACTTCTCAAGCTCAACCCCAATTCCTCCACCCTCTACTTAACCCCTTTCCTTCTATCCCCTCTCACCTCAAACTTCTTGTCCCCCTCAAACTTCTTAGCTCAACCCCAATTCCTCCACACTCATAATTTGACATGATTCCAAAAAGACTTGAAGCTCCACGATTTATTATCCATGGAAAATGGATGAGATCATATTGTAGAGTATCTGCAGAATTTTACTAGATTTAACAATGTAGCTGCTAAGGCATTAATAAAATGCAAGTCAATGGTAGCTTGATCATTAGGCCATGTTCGGGGATACAACAGATAGAGCACAAATGTTGTGTCTGTGGATACAACAGATTTGTACTCATGGGTACAATCAGATTTAAAGGGATGACTCCAATAGACAATGATGTAATAAGGGTAGGATTTTCTTCATTAGGTGTTTGTATAAGATTAGACCTTACAGTGGATACCCACCTTGGGTTTCATGCAGGGCATAAAAGTTAAATCTAAATACCATATATCATATGGTTAATACTAACTTGCACTAGCTCTTACACTAGTACCTATAATGGTTATGTTTAGCTGGAATGAGATAATAAGCTCTTAACTGACATATCTCAAATCTGGCAGAATAATCCACCATGATGGTCATTCATTGGGGCTCAATTAATCGGCCTATGTATCTGGCAAACAAACACATGAAAGTAAGACCAAATGCTGAATCTATTATTTTCCTTACAAACCCTACAAGAAAAAGAAATAAATGGAGCCATATTAGCAAGAAAACAGCACATGGATTTGGAGAAGAATGCTTACAAGAATCACAATGCTTCTCTTTTTCAAATTGGTAGAAGAGTTAATTACTTTCAAATTTTAAATCTCACTGGTTTCTACTTCTATTCAAAGGAATTGGAAAGGTTGAACAATGTATTTCTTTTATTTCTAAACCTGGAGCTGCAATGGAATAGAAATTGGATTTGTATTAGTTAATGGTGTATGAATAACAAAGAACAAAGGATGTACAGTAGTTATTGTTTTCACTGAGAAATGAATGTGGCAGTTTAATAATATATATTTTTTGCTTAATTTTCTGTTACTAATTCCTTTAACTTGACACTCGAGTGTAGCACATGCAACAATGCACAAGTACATGGAAAAAGTATCGGGGAGGGGGAAACGATCTGTTTGGATGGATAATTGTCATTTTAATAATAAAAATAAAATTTTAATTAAAACAAAAGAGGAGAAAGGAAATACTACTATACTAGGGCTGTTCTTAAGGTTTAAAATGTCGATGTCGACGGAAATGTCACTGACCAAAATATAGGACATATGTCGGAAATGTCGAGGGGAAATATTGTAAAAATTAGAGACATTGTGGAAATATTCGGAAATATGTGGAAATATGCAAAGATATTTTGTAAAATGATAAAAGAAGCATTAATACATATTTCTAGACTATTATCTTATTCCCAACC